TGTGTGTGTGTGTGTGTGTGTGTGTGTGTGTGTGTATTTTAGTGTATCTGGAATCTTGAAGATTCCATTTTTTTCACTTCAGGTGTATACCAAGTGTATGTGATATATTTCTTTCCATTTGAATGAATGGATGTGTGACTTTCCATATGAAACATTAGCCAAGAGAAATTAGGGAAGAGATACTGTGAATTCAAAACACAGGCCCACAAACAACACATGTATTTTCCTTATTTTTATACTTACACGTACTATGGTCTCTAGCACCTCGTTAACCACTGGAGCCTATGTCTAGGGGGTTTTCCCCTTATTTACACACATATACGTCCATACAAATCAATATTGCAATGAAATTTTCATCATTAGCTGTATCATCGACTAAACAGATGTACTGAATTTGGCAAAGACCAGGTCCTTAAAATTATTTAGGCCCCTGACATATGTTACACTTAGGATGTAATTAACCAGTTAATCACATCTTAAGTTGTAATGTATCCACATGTTAATGCAATTAATGATGTGATAAACAGGGAATAAGACAAGGAATAATACACAAATAAAAGGTGTAAGAACGTTTACATGTTCCTATCACCATTAACTTAACATGTAGCAAGGTGTGGTCCAATGACTGGGAATTATTGGCCACAGGACCATGATCCTGGGCTCCCCCTGCACTGGCAATAAGGTGCAATAGGATCTGATGTTGGATCCCACAATTATGCCTCCCAACCACATGTGCCATGGCAGGAAACACAATTGTGGGGATCCTGCCTCAGATTCTATCACACCTTCACTTACACATCTGCCAAGGGCCTTAGAAATGATACTCCCATTGATTTCAGTACAACTCTAGAAGGAGAGTGAAGACTGGGTTATATTCCCAGCCTTGCAACTGGCTGGCTGCATAAACCTAAGCGACTCCCTTCCTTTTTCTGTGCCTTAGCTTTCCAACTGTAAAATGGAATAATGATGATACATACTTCCTTTGTAAAGCGCTGCACTCTATGGATGAAAAATCCTATGTAGGAGCTGGATGTAATTAAAGTTTACAAGCTCAGATTCTTCTCTGTGTTAAGGCTTTTGTGCTCTTTATCATACTTTCAAGTAACCTTTGAACATGGTATAGCGGGCAAGGGAAATAGAGGTGTTGTAGAGATGATGTCACAATTTACAGCAGTATGCTCCCTGCAGCCACAGATGTAATGTGGCAAAAGAAATGAAGCAAAGTCATGGTTTCTTTGACTCTAGCAATCCCTGATTGTGACACCAGCTCCTGGAGACTGTGGCAGTTGGTGTAATTAGTAGCATACTTCAGACTACTTTAAACCTAGCTGAAGAACTTTTCCAGTGTGCCTTGCTGCCAAGACTGAGGGAGTTGTGTACCGTGCTTAAGCACTCCTCAGCCCCCTCCTGCCACATGGGCTATATTATGCATTATGAAATGATAAACTTAGATTTACAATTCCAATTCCACTTGTAGAAATCGGCAAAGTTGGGTAGAAATAATTAAGCAAGAAAATTCCACCGTGCATAATTTATTTATAAATACACAGCCATTTTGTCCATCACCAAGCCTCACTGATTAAACTGATCACTGGTTTCCCTTAAGCTGGTTTCTCTTCAAAATTTGGCTCTCTGTTTCTAATATTTTTCCTTTTTCACTGCCCATTTTTCTTGCAAAGTTGCCTGTATTGGAACACTGAATAAAACTGACAGTGTTTATTCTGGTGAGATGAATACCCAGGGATGGTTTTCATGCAAAGGAATCATAAACAAGTTACAGTGCTCCTTAGAGTTCAGATTCCTTTACCTTAATTTCAGTAGTTTAGATCCCTGTTGTACCATCTTATGGGACATAAATCCAGGTGCATGCATGGGAACAGGGCTAATGCTCTTTTTTTCAGCAGGGCTGAAACAGCCTCTATCTTTCACTGTAACCACTTGGACAGCAACTATACCTATTCTACCAGCAGCGCCAGAAGTGTCAGGTTCTAAACTGTTATACTTATCTTCAAATGGCCAGAGTAACTACATAGAAAAAAATCCACCAAATGCCATGCCTTGCATAGTGAAAAGCCAGAGAGGTGGCTAGATATATTACTATAAAACAAATAATCAGTAAGAAGCCTCCTCCCTATTTTGCAGGCTTCATTTTTGTCAGCTTCAAGAAGTGTTTAAGTGGGAAGCAGCATTTAGATCCCCTCAGAAAAGTGTTTGAGGATCTTTTCTCACTTGAAGGAAGCACTTAGTTAAACCTCCTAAAGGCTGTAAGCACCCCACACTTTTAGGGTCTTACCCCTGCTTGCTAAATGTATCACCTATAAGTCACTTGCTGAGTTAATCACAGCAGCTAAAACTTACTGCGGGTGAGAAAAATGGATTTTTGATTAAGTCTTTATAATTAAGTATATGACAGACCTAATTGCTTTCTTTCTAGGATGCAAGGAATATTATATGCTTAGATTAATTTTGTGCTATCTTCTAGTAGTATAGGTTCATCATTATCACTTTGAAGAGAACCTCTAAGTACATAATTATACACAGTTAGTCAGAATTAAATTACATATTATCTAATGTAAACAATATTCTAGCTCAGGTGGCTCCGTCAAGGTTAAAATACAGAGATCCGATAGCAGATGGCTTTAAAAGAAAAGCCATTTCAGAATCCCCTTCCTACTATTAATTCAAACAATTGGGGAGGGCAAAATATATATGGTAAGAGGTTAATTTTTCTGTTCTTCCTTTAACAGGATTGGGAATTTCCACATTTTATGGGTGATGTTGATGTAAATCTTCCTGGCTTGCCCTCTGCACATATGCAGTTTAAAGTCCCTTACTTCCAAAAGATTTTCAAGGAAGAATACCATATACATATAACAGGTAAGTAGCCTGATGTATTGCAATCCCAATCATACACTGAAGTCTTTAACTACTGCTGTGAATCAGTTTTAGTGTGTGAAATTCTGTTTTTGACAGTGTCACCTTTATCTGCATTATGATTTTTATTCAAAATAGCCCATCAATGAAGCAATGAATCCAAGCAGCCTGCACTTCTCCATGTAGTTCAGCAATTCCTTGTGCCATTCACTGATACCTATAACTGTAGCAGAGATCACCTTTATTAAAAATGATTCTCCTGGGGAATTAACAGCTCATTTCCTTTTCAGATCTGTTCTGCCTCCAGATAGTTTCACTATAATTTATGTTAATGTCCTTTCATGAAGCAAGCCATTCTCATCCAGGAAAGGTTGGGTAGAACCATGCTTACAGCAGTCCTCTCACCAGAAACAAACAGCTGAATACATATTGTGGGCCCATCTACACAAGACATTTACTGCCATGTTGCCTAATTAGCTCTGCAGTAATGCCACTGTAGGTTAGTGCTTGTAAACACAAGTCTTGTGCTGCTGCGGCATTATTTAGTGTGCCACAATGCATTTGTAGACACTGACAGGGCTGGCAGGGGCACAAGGGTGCTTCAGTGTGGGGGCTGCCTGCTGGCTAGCCCTGCACTGGAGTTCTCTCGTGCCCCAGCCAGCTCCTGTGCAGCACATTGAGCCAGGCCAGAGCAACCCTGGGCTGACAGGCTGACCCTCAGGGCCCCCTGCCGCCAGGGGCTGCTCTGACTTGGCTCAACATACTACGGTCCCAGGCGCACACAGAAACGTAGTTCCCAGGAGCAATAAACTCTGGCACAAACTGTATTGCATCACACTAATTGCACATGTAGATGCACCCGTTGTGTAGTTATTCCAAATCATGACAAATTAGAAATGAAGAGCCTGATTCTTATGTATGACTAAACAGTTTGAGAGGATGAAAGGTGGGATATGAAGCCAGGTATACCTCCCTCCATTAGAGCATGTGTATGCATGTATGTGTGTATTAGAAAGGAATTTAAAATGAATGGAGTGTCTCCCTAGAAGTGAATTCCATATGTAGGGATCACTACAAGACAAGGTAGAAATAGAGAAGTCAGAGTATTTTGACAGAGTGTGTAGCAAGCTCCTTCAGCACCCAGTGTGGGGGCGGGGGTTAGGGAGTGGGGGAGAATGCCAACCACTGTAGACCAGTGAGAGGAAGAAAAGTCTTACCTCACCTGGCTCTCTCCACAGTTGAAGCAGCTACTACTGCTACCACTGCTCTTCCTGTAGTAATGTCAGCTCAGGTGGCAGCAGCCACATGGCACAGACTCCCTTGGAGCCACCCCGGTGCCCCATTTGCCCCTTTTCCCCATCCAGATATGCTACTGGGCACAGGGCTGTGCCTGCTGTGGCAAAGATACCCCAGGGGTGGGGGGGAGTGGAGAATGCTATGCTGCTTGCCCCACTTGCTCCCTGCAGCTGCTCAGCTCCTATGGCTGGGCAGCACAGGGGACAGACATTCAGGTGCTCCTTTATAGTTTGCACCTGGGGCTGGTGCTGTGCTTGCTCTCCCTCCAGTTGCCCTACTGACATCAAGTTGATCTGTGATGGCATAGTGAAGTAGCCACATAGTGAAATGAGATTTGACATGAGGGCCATGGTAGAGTTTGATAGAGCCTTAGACATGAGGATGAGTAGTTAAAAACTAGTATAGTAGGTCAAAGAAAGCCAATGGGATGACTTAGATAGAGGAGTGAGTTTGACGTAAAGGAATTTAAGTTGCTACATTTCCAGCAGACTGGGGGAGAATGCTAAAATGATTTGGGTAGGTGGATAGTCAAGATCAGAAATAAGAAGGGGGTGGACAAGGATTTGAGCCATCGGGATGGAAGAGCAGCACTGTTGTTGGTTAAATGTCATAGGAAAAGGAGTGGTAAATGTTGGTGATAGCCTGGAAGTCTGGGGGAAAAGAACAGGGGTTCTTCTATGTTGACAGTGGGATTTTGAGTCGGATAGATAGGGAAGATGATGAAAGGTAGGAGGAGGGAGTTGAAGAAAAAGGATACTCTCATTTTTAGCCTGGGCTTAAAATAAACCAGGGTAGTATTTTACAGAAATAAGATATAAGTGAAGAGGCCTGAGACAGAGCCACGTGGGACTTCAGCAGAGAACGGGCATACGAAAGAAGATGTTGAAGACAAAGTCAAAGAGCCAGTAACTAAACTGTGAGATGACATGGCCTCAGAAACAAAGGGAAGAAAAAGACCAAGGAGAGAGTGATGAGTGGTTCTGAATTTGAGGAGGCTGAAATGGTAAATCTAGAATGTAGCCAGGCTTTTTAGAGGAGAAGTGGGAAACCTGACTGGGGCACATTTCAAAAGTGAATAGATGAAAAGAAAACAGTGCAACTACTGCATATTGCTCATAGAGAGGGCAAAGGCAGATGGGCTGATGTAGGAGAGGCAGGTGGGAAAATGGAAGGTTATGTTACACATGATTTGTCTGAACACTGAATGGAAAGAGACATAAAAGAAAAAGGGCAAGTGGGTGGATTTGAGAAGGACAATGGAGGCCAGTAACAAAGACAAATGATTAACTGGGACAGGAGGAGGGATGGGAAGTTAAGGGCATGTGAATACCTCACAGCCAATGGCTAGGGTAAGGAAGATAATGTAGAGCCAAACTAATGCAGGCAAGAAAGAGAATAAAGAGACAGAGAGGGTGGGACTTGCACATGAAGGGAGTGCATAAATGTCTTTGAAGTCAGTGACATTTTGGTCAGAGGGGGAAAGAGGATGAAGAGTTTAAAGTACCAAATGTATATATGACAGTAGCTGTAGGCGCAGGATCCAATTACAGTAGAAAAGTAAGAACATAAGAAGTGCCATATTGGGTCAGACCAATGGCCCATCTAGCGAGTATTCTGTGTCTGAGAGTGGCAGGGCTGGATACTTTAGAGGGAGAGCATTGAACTGGAAGTGTCTAGTGATCTGTCCTCTATTCATTACCTTCCCTAGCATCCACTATTATTGGTTTAGAGATGCCAGGGGAAACGTCCCCAACCCTTCTGTCCAACAGCTATCAGCAGATTATCACCTATGAATTTGTTGCCCTGTAGGGTCAGGCCAACACTCAGGATCTCAATATTGCGCTGTTAGACAGGAGGGCATGGTGTACAATTGCACATACACACATATCACCAATTCAAGCACATACACACCTTAATGATAATGACATGAAATCATACACAATACACACATGCATACAC